AGATGTCAATTCTTCAGACGATGGCGAAGGCGTGGTGGTCGTTTCACAGCTCAATATCGTAGATCTGGCCGGTTCAGAACGGGCTTCACAGGCGGCTACGACGGGTAATCGGCTTAAGGAAGGCTGCTCGATCAACCGCAGTCTTCTTACACTGTCGCGCGTCATACGCACGTTGAGTGAATACAGCACCGGCAGTGGTTCTGACGGGTTCGTTATTAATAATTAGCGTCAGCTGTGTACTTAACTTCTTACGCGAGATGAAGCACCGCTACATTGTGCGCAGTAGAAATCACCGGAGAAGCGGTGACGGTGCCAGAGCTCACCGAGGAAAACTCTTAGTTGGCCAAGTCTCACAAAGCAATTACCTGGAATCCCATTCGGGCTGGGTGAAGAGCAACCAGAACCAGAACACCTGACAAGCGCAGACAAGCTGAAGCTAATTGCAAAGATCGAATGGAGTGGGAAGTATAAACAAAAGTGACCCCAGCCCCTGTGTACAGCTCGATCCGAACTACATCGCAAGACCGACGAATGAACGATAAACTTCAGCAGTGTTGGAGTGATACAGAACGGGTTGCAAGCACGCGCCTGAGATTTGGCCAATTAACTCACAGAGAGACATAAAAGCTTGTGACTACAAATCGCACGCGGCAAACGAATATGGGCATTGATTATGAAAAAGGATAAGTCAGTTGATGTTGTGCGATTGCTTCAGAGATTTTTTCTAAAAACTTTATCTACTTTTATCCCGTGACTTGTTTAGGCCTTTCGTTAACTACCGGGACTCCAAGCTTACGCGAATATTGCAGAATTCGCTCGGTGGTAATAGCAAGACAGCGATCATCTGTACCGTTACCCCGGCTTCAATCGACGAAACGGAGAGTACGCTTCGGGTACTGACATGGATTACTTTTAATTATGAACTACTCATTATTAATATCAGTTATTTTTCACAATTCCTATCACTACATACCAGCTCAGATATATTCCTGTTACCAACGTATCCTACGGCAGGCATTGATCAAAAGTAATTTGTCACGTTAATGTAAACTGCTGAGTTTTGTGCCAGCCATGAACATCTGTCATGAGGTTCTTAGAGCGTACTCAGTGTAAACCTAAGTGGTAGAATCATGGAGATAACACAGCCAGGGTTAATCCATTTATCAGTCAAGATAAGTAATTATATTCATCAAAATCAAATAGTTAACCAGCCAAATGAACGATTCTCAGTCATTACAACGTCAGACTCGCAGCCTGAGGATCATAAATTTGAATCACGGGCGGGTCATTTGCAATCCGTTCAGAATATTTGAACGAACAGCACTGTGCAAGAAAAATTTAGTTTATACGCCATTTAGCTATAGATGTTGCTTTCATAACGGAAACAGATTCTGATGCTACTGACCTATGACATTGTTGCCAAGGTTGGCACCACGTAAGCTCAGCGAAATAGGGTACAGAAAATATTTTTATCAGGGAAGTGCGCTAACCCACATCCCTGTGATTGTACTCTTTCCTTTTCGGTCAGTCATTTCGCTCCTATGGAATATAATGATTGCAATCCACTTTTTAGTGATCTCGATCAGCGTAATATTTACAAAAGGCGTGCGTTTTAGAAACCAGGAGACCCAATCGAAAGCTAAAATCGACGGAATAATCTTCCATGTACAAGACTAATCAGTAGTCTCGAAGAATGTAATGTATAGTAAAATCTTTTCATTATCGATTCTACCCTTGAGTAGATATAGACTTGAAAGAGGAATAGACGGAGTTGAATTTGTGATGCGTGGAGATCGAATGGAATTTACGCATTGATAATCAAAATGATGGAAATGCGACTAGAAGTTGCCTTATCCGCCTGACTTTATAGTAGCGAATATCACTTCATATATTGTTATTGTTGTTGTCATCGTCCTCTAAAGAACAGCTGTTCGCTGATGAACAATGGTTTTTGGTATGATGTAAATTTAATAGCTTGTGTTTAGTATAGTTTCCATGTTTCCACTTTCGATGCTGAAACTACTTTCAACAAGTTTGCAAAAATATACGGAACTAATGGCCAAAATATGCAATAGTGTCAATAAAACACTTTTAAATTAAATATTTTTTCCATTTGTCTATCAAAAGACCAGTTGTGTATAACTGTGGAATAAAAAATATTGTTATTCATTTTTGACGTGAGCAAATGTCAACTGATGTGCTCGTTCAAAACGCAGTCTAATCCAACCATCATTTTGTAGGCAGATGTGGAAATATCAGCAGATGGACTGTGGAAATATAGGTGATGGTCTAAGTACACTAGTAGAAGTATAATAGCGTCAGAATTTGTAACCAGATTTTTATTGTTAACGCAGACGCAGATACAGACGCAGGTTTACGTTATCATTAATTTCTTCGTCTCGTCTAAAATCATTTTAACAGACTTGCTGTGTTTTGCGTCGTCGTTCATTTTTTTCAGAGAAACTTAGGATGAAGATTTGAGTCCACCGTCCTGGTTGCTGGTCTGAGCTCTGAGCTTCTTTTTAAGCAACTCTACATTAAAAGTATATTGAATACTGTTATCCATCGATTACGATGATCTTTTCAGCCGACCGTGACAAACAGCACCTTTTCTTAAATTGCAGTGGTATCTGCGGGTAGATTTTCATCTGTTATTACTCTACTCCAGTGATACTCTTTCCTAACTTATCTATGCCTTCGTCCTCCGCTATTTCACCGAAAGCGCGTAGCATCATAACATCTAAGAGGTCTGCTTCTTTCTCCGGAGGTGTCAGGTTTGAATCCGTTCAAGGGAAATCTTTGTCCTGTTTGTAAATTCCATCGTGCAGAGAATTAATCCCACTTTGCTTCGGCGCAACCAGCCGAGAAACGGCTAGTGAGTCGAATGACTTACGAATAGCGGGAACAGTGTGGTGTTCTAGTTTTGTCACTGTAGAGTGGACGAGGTGCGCTGATATGTTTTCCAATGCGATCGTCGGTTGTGGTTGCTATTCTCCTTGATTCATCTAATGGCTGACTGCCCAGTGTAATAGCCAGCATCAGGTGTAACCTTGATTTCGATTCGTTCGATCGGCCATTCAGCCAGTCTTTCTCATTCATTCATTTTTCCATATATTTATTTATTCATATTTATATATACCTAAAACACGTGTAACAAGTTATAAACGTTGACCATATATTTTGCTTATTGATGTTTTGTTGATGTCAGTACTTTAGTTTGCTACGAGAGCAAAGGATATCAAAAACAGACCGGTTCGCAATGAAGATCTTACTGATGAAGCATTGCTGCGTCGTTACAAGAAGAAAATTTCTGAAATGCAGAGCCAAATAAATAAGGTATAAATAGCGTACAGAGGCGATTTGGCTTATTGCAAACCTTGTAATGTTCGCAACAAAGGTGACAGACCGGTCAAAACAGTGTTTTAAATTTTTACATAGCAGGGCATGAAGTTAAACATGAGTAAATGATGTGGAACCAGAAAAGTTAAATTGTAGAAGAAAACATGTTAGGAAGATATGGTATGGAACGAATACGAAAGGCATATCCGTTTTCCTTACTTCAAATCAGTGGATGTACGGACTATGCTTTTGTTATTGATTATGATATTGGTGTTAATTACGGCGACAGTTATGAAGTTCGTGGCAGTCTAATTGTGAATTAAAGGGCCCTGCATTGCAAACTCATATGAAATAAAAAAAATAGGCTTTGTCTCCTGTTAGAGTGCAGTACTTCATTTGATCCATATTATCTTCTGTAGCATTCCGCGATTTCTAGCTGTTTTCAGTTTCACGACTCAAATTTTGTTCAGTGATTGTAATATCACATTTAAATCTACGTTTAAGCTTGTGGAGTCGTCTTCGTTGCAAGAACTCCAGCAAGAAAAGGACCTGCTGGCCGAACAACTCCGTGAAAAAGAGGAAAAAATTATGGATATGAAGCGTTTAATATGTATCAGCAGTCGACTGACCGCTAGTCCTTTGGCCAAAGATCTTTCGAAAGAGGTATATATTATGAATTACGTTTTGTTGCCCGTTAGAGTACTTTCAGTAACAGGTTGCATAAGCATTTCAGTTGTCATAAGGTACACGCGACATATTAACGAGCAAGTGGCTCTGGACTTAGACTAAACTTGGTAGTGTTTTCAGCCTCAGTAGTTTTGATTTACAAATCGTTATGATTTCTGAGTCATATCATACTGGTTAGGAACTGTTTTTTCCGGTGATAAACCTCTTTTATTACCGTGCTATGTAATTTGACTTCGCAAGACGATGCTTAAAGAAGTCTTACTGATTTAATCCACTGGCTACTGAAGAACCATTTGTCTTCGAGTAACTGAGAGCTCCTTACCGCGTACTATGGAATTCATTAATCATCTAGACTTATAAGTCAAATCATTTTATAGTAGAGGGTGTCGAGAGAAGTGGAAAACATGCTGTAATTAAATACGCATCACGCAGCCGCGATATCTGCGTAAACGCGGAACGATAAGTTGACTGATTACACGGCGAGGCTGTCACACGAATGACAATATGTTATGGCCTTTGTGACTTTTTAAATTTTAGTTGCGTAATCGCCGCGAAACCTGGTGCCCTGGTATTAGGTCACCACCATCCGTCCTTTTTTCTTCCCGTCTGACTATCTCTCGCTGTGGAATGAAACGTAAGTTCTGGTTTTTTTGTTCAAATATATATTTAGCTTCTTTAACTTCCTTGTGTTCATCTCAGGAAAAATGCCTCTGGCCGTCTGTACTGAGAACAGTGAAGAGGAACCCGATGGTAGCCAGGAAGAGGTCGACCCAAAGATTAATGCTGTTGTAAGGATTCCGATTGTTGGGTTTTTGTTCTTAAATGAAATCGCTGCTACCATAGTTAGTATCTCTCTCCGTTTCACTCTTTTGTTTCCTTGAACATGAACATCACATTAAACCGGTTATTCTATTAATGTACTGTTGTTGCGATATATTCTGCAATAAATCTGAGTTGATATTTCTTTCCCCTAAGTGCTAACATGCAGCATGTTCCTTAGTCCTTATTTTTGAATAGCACTTTGGACAGTACCGAACCGCTAGCTTATACTGCTGTTCCATATTCCGCTTTAGTAATTAGATGGGTAGCAAATTGAGGACGAATCCTAACCGCCTCCATTACCATGAAGCCGCGTTAGAACTTATTTCCTTGAGCCTTAGCTTAATCTTAATATATTTTCTCAACACCATTCTGTATACGCTCATACAGAAGAAGAGCTCAATGCGTAACAGTTAGGCTGCTTAAGGAAAGG